GAAATTCCAAAAGGAAAAAGCTCTTTTTTTTTAATTTTTTTTTTTTTGGTGACATATGGATTAAGAGGTACTTAATGTCTTAATTGGGATTTTCAGTATTATTTTGGGGGACGATATGATCTGGTGAAGTTTGTGAAGATCGTCGAGCAGGCTGGGATGTACTTGATTCTTCGAATTGGCCCATTTGTTGCCGCAGAATGGTACTTTGGGTATGCCATTCTATTTTGGATTGTAATATTGGTTTCTCCTGTTGCATACTTTTTTCCAGCTACTTTTCTTACTTTAATTATTGTTTGAGAACTCCTAAGAAATATTTGTTTAATACAACAGAGGAGTACCCGTTTGGCTGCATTATGTGCCTGGCACTGTATTTCGAACTGAAAATGAGCCCTTTAAGGTATGGAAGTCAAATTGTTACTGCCTAGGGTAGAAATATTATCGATAATGTTCCAAGAATATTCATATTTTCTTATGATCTTGGGATAGAGATTGGATTTCATTCTTACTTTCATGTTGGCTTCAATCACCAGGCCATTGTGTTTCAATTTATGTAGAGGTGATTAAATAATTAAACCAATTTTCTTCATCCCCTCTATTTTCTCCTTCATGTATTTCTGTTTAGGTGCTACATCATAACTGTTTCCCATTTGAAATTAATTAGTTTCCCCTCTCTAACTGATTTTGCCTACTTCCTGGGGTTTCAGTATCATATGCAGAAGTTCACAGCATTCATAGTTAACCTTATGAAACAGGAGAAGCTTTTTGCATCACAAGGAGGTCCCATTATCTTGGCACAGGCAAGTATCTTTGATTTCGGAAGCACTTAGATGAAATTTTTATTTTTGGTTAAACCATTTAGTGATAGTTAATCAAATGTCCTGGTTTTGTGCAATTATACAGCATCATGCTAGGGTTACGTTTTGTCAATTAAACGTAGTTGTCTTATTGGTAAATATTTGGTTTCTATATATTTATCCTTCTTGAGAGATGAATACATTAGATAATTGTTTCTATTCCAAATCTTGCATTTCTACTCTGTCAAGCGTACTAAAGATGTCAAAATAGAAAAGAAAATATGATTTGTGAACCTTGTTTTCTTCTACTAAAATGGGAGCTCTAGGTCCAGATTGATTCTGATTCTGATTCTGATTTGCCTGGTGATCTTTCTATATAATTGTTTATTCTGATTTGCTTTCTTGGCTGGAAAGCCTTCGTATTTACGAGATTTTTATTTAGCTCATCTTGGTGACATTGTGTAATCATTCTAGTTCCCTAATCACATTGTGTGATTGGAATTCATTTTCGATTTTTACAGATCATTGTTTTAGTTTTTCTATTACACAAATTTGTTAACAATTTAAAGGATGAGGTACATGAAATCCATCCATTCTCAACAGAATTGATGAAATTGTTAGTGTCCCTAGATTTTGAATCTTATTATCCCAATAAGATTTAAGTTTGCTTACATTATTGTTTATGCAAGTGATAATGTTTATATGTAAAGGAGATTAGTATTTGAAATTAAAAATTTCCCTGAGCTAAAAAGGATATTGTTATGTGAAAGTAAATTTCGAAGACACATCTTGCTAATATAGTAGACTTACTTATCAGTTTTAAATTATAATAAATTGATATGAGAAAGTTTCCATAGATTCTGATTCTAGAGAGCCGTATGTTCAGTTAATTTTTTGTTGTTTGGTTTGATTTCACTTATAATTGTCTTCTTCCAAAACTGAAAATTTCTTTTTTCGATCAAGTAAATCAATTGAAGGGTTTGGGAATTTTGTCTATGTTTT